TAAATAATAAATAAGGAGAAGTCGTTTTCTCCTGATAAGTGCACCATCTCATGTCAATAGATTTTATTATTTCTTTCATTCACTTTGACCAAAATTTCAAGCTTTCTTTTCTAATTGCTTCAGCTTGACCAAGTGTTCCCTTATACACTTATTTTGACCTAGAAAATTCAGCCTCCAAGAGATCTTTCTTTTTTTGTTTGTTTTTTCCGCAGCCTCCAGGAGATCATTCTCTTTGAAACTGACATCGAAATGCACCCATCATGCTTATCCAAACGAGACTAAACATTTGTCTAACGCAGCAATTCTGGAAACTTGAGATAAATAGAAGACTGGACCAATCTAGAAACAAAGTTATACAACGAAGTTTAGAACTCATCATTATTACAGTCACATGCGAAACATTGAAAGTTCCCACAAACGATTGACAGAAATCATCTATATTTACAGCAATCGTAAGTATCATTACCCCCTTTTTCCCCGTTCAAGCAATCAGGTTACACAAGTGTACTTAACCATCCTCTATCAAGTTACACAACAGGGAGTAACCCTTCTCTTGTACTTAACCATCCTCTATCAGGTTACATAACAAAGAGTAACCCTTCCTTTGTACTTAACCTTCCTCTCCCTGGCAGGGTCCAACCTCAAGTCCATAGGTACAACAATCAGAGGACATTTTATCAACTAAGCTAGTTGTTTACCTCTAGATCGTACCTTATTTTCTCGTAGTTGTTTCCAAGCATAGTTGATTTTTCTCTGCGTTTCAAAAAAGCATCAGAAGACACCAAGCCTCTGCTTCCTCTATATTTTCTCTCAGGTGTTACTTGGTCTAATACAGTAAAAAAAATGGGAGATGGATGGAATGAGCAAAAACCAGGAAACATCTGTGCTCTTACGATGTATTATCTCTATTGGATTGTGAACCCTTGTAGTTGTCAAATGAGCCGCTGAGAGGAAAACAAGCGTCTTCACCACCAGTGCTCCAAAGGAAATTAGCATATTTGGATGCTTGATAAGGATTGCCGGGTTCAGCTGCCATTGCTTGCTGGTATCGCTCTTCTGCCTCCCAGAGTTCTCTCCTCACTTTCCACAAGAAGTCTGCATATCGAGTCAGTGCCACAGCATCTGGCGGTTCTACTTGGATAGCACGCTTGAAGCACTCCTCAGCCCTGTGTAATCCCACAGAAAGGAAAAACAAACAAAATCAGACAGCTATTTTTATGGTTCTAGGACATAGTCTTAACCGTCTCAAAGGTTTTGTTATGGTCCAAGTTACGAATGAAAGAACCTAAACATGAAATCAAATTAAACGAGAAAGCAAGAAAAGTACCTGTCATGGTCCCTTAGCACAAGGTGAGGAAACTGGGCATAATTTAAAAGCAGAAGTGGATTATTTGGCTCCTCAGCTAAACCCATTTGGTAAAGGAGGTTCATTCTGAAATAATCCCCCTAATCATCTGGTTCAAGCTCCACATTTATCTGAGACACAAACTGCTGCATCATTGGGAAATCAAGAACCTCCTTATGTGATTTCGCTAGCATTCTCGAAGCTTCCTCGACCATTGATTTCCACAAGCCCGCCACCTCAGCAGTCACTTCCCAAGAACCTTCTAGCAGGTTATCAGGAACGACGGACGCTAGGATATTAGACTGAAGTAGAACAATCACTCCTTGATTCTTCTCTACCATCTTCCTCTGTAAATGGAATGGTCTCCGTGATAATCTCAGTAGGTAACCTTGACGATAGAATGGCAGCGGCAGAAGTATCATCACATGGAGTTTGCAGTGAAATTAGCTAGAAGTATCATCACATAAACCAAAAGAGTAGATGTCCTTGAGCACACTTGCTGTAATAGCCAAATAAATGAATTGCTCATTTCTCTTTGCACATAATCCCATGCAAGTCTCCAGAGCAGAGACTACCCTCTTGCCTTTTTTGCTTCTTCTTTATCATCCGCAGAGACAGTGGAATACCAAACCTATTCGCTTTCTGTTCAATGTCAATCTTCTCATTGTCGTCTCTCTCAGGCCAATCAGGTGGCTCTGGTGAGATTCCAAAAATATTAGGTCCAAGAACTTCAATCTTTGATGGCAAAAGTTTCATTGAAAAATTCACCTTTCTGCCCTTCTCACCACCTTTAGATCTCAAATCACCAGAGAGTTACTACAAGTAGTTTCCTTTATGTATTCATTCACACCACTGACAACACTGAATCTCTGAGCCATTTCTTCACTTCTTTTGGGCAATTCTTCGTCAGGGTTATAATCATTGCTTGCACTGCTAGCAAGCTTGAATCTATGGACTCTGAATTTTCTTGTATGATAAAGATTTGGCCAAAAAACTAGACAACATGACAAAGATCTGTTGTATCCTACATGAGTCATAAACAAGGGAGAGGCAAGTTTTTGAGGGACTATGAGAACTGATATCTACATGCTGTTTGTTGCAAATTTTAATTCCATTATTATATAAGGCCTCAATCTGCAAAAAGAATAACAAAGATCATAAGAAACCAAAACCCCATCAACCAAATCAGAGAAATAAGCTAGATATCAAACGACAAACCAGAACTACAATGAAGGATATGAGAATCAGTTAAAAACCCCATGATGCCTTGGAAGAGGGTAATAAAAGTTGGAAACTTTACTTTTCATATGGGATGCAATCTAAACCAATATACAGACTGAAAATACATAGAAGTTGCACGTGTTTGAAAGCAATCTAACATGAGATTTGGGATGAAGGCAAAAAGACCACTAAAGTCAAAAAAAGAAAAAAAAAAAAAAATCACAACCATCACCTCCACCATATGACACTTTCTTCCACCTTGCCTATATAATAAAATAGAAATCAACGCCCACCCACCAAGAAAAGGAGATTTCTAAGATCCAAAATGTAACAAATGTCAACAAAAGAAAGCATTTTTAGGGTTATCAACAATAGATTCAATTGTCATAACTTGAATATGTTAAAAAAATGGGATAAAAAATGGGATTGAAAGCTCACCGGAGTTCATGTAAGAATAAGAACGTTTGGTACGATTGTTAAACATCAAGAGATGAAGAGAGGCCAAAGTTTCAACCTTTGCTTAAAGCTGTCGATTGGGATTCCAGAAAAGAGAGTCCGTGCAAATTGAAATGAGGAATCATTCAAAACCCATTTCTATAGTGTCCTTCTCCTCGCTGTTCAAACCACGAGTTTTGCAGTTTTGAATTGAACAATGCGTTTCCATCAGCATCACACGTGGGGCCTCCGCCGGCGAAGGAAGACAGTCACGTGGGTTGATCCTATTGCAGGGTGATACAGTTGCAGGAGCGGCCGGTGACCCTGATGACGACACGGTGCTTTTTCCGAACACCTGGCGCTGCAACTTCCAAATTATCAGTTGCCCATTGTGGCTATCTGGATTCTGGACTGCAGCGGAACGGAGCCTTTTGTCATTTTGTCTCGTCTTGTCCATGAGTGGGTCGGATGTTACAGACCCGTTTGCCCGTTCACATCCCCATTCCTTTATTTTTGGAATACCCTTCCTTTTTTTTTTTGAAAACTCCTAGAATTAATTTGTTCTGGTCATTCCAAGAATTAATATTTGAAATTGACGGCAAAATAAAATTTCTGAAAGACAACAATTAAATTGAACCTCTTTAAATATTGCAATTCTACAAAATTTTACATAGAATCTATAATTTCATTAAAAAAAAAAAAACAATATATAAATACAAAGAATTAATGATAATTATCTTTTTCTTTTTTTTTTTATCATCTGTGCTAACAAATTCAAGATCTGTAGCTGTTGTTTTACGTCGTAGGAGTCCATCACTGAGTCATTTCACTTTCTTCTCCAACTCATGCCAGAAGCGCCGCGTTCATGACTCCAAAATTCCCCCAGAAACGTTTTGGCCGCATCCAGACTTGGGTAATACGTCGGTTCCAGAAATATCTGGCTCAGTGAGTCACTCGAGTCGGAACTCGCCACCATTCGGTTTCCTTTCGCCTCCAAACTCCCCATCACCACCACCAGCACCTGCTTATAAGCGAAGAAAAAGCTCTTCACCGCCGCCTCAATCGCTTGCAGGGCTTGTAGCAAATGAATCTTCTCGAACTCTCTCTTCTCCATGTACAACCTCATGGCTGCATCTTGAATTCTGGGCCCACCCTTGGGGTCGACCTCAACTCCTAAGATTAATGGCACCTTATGCTTCAGTTCCTTGGACAATTTCGTAATTTCGACCAATCCTGTTGACCTGAAACAGAACGCCTCCGTTTCCGGCACCGATTTGATCTGTAACTGACTTTTCAGGTGGAGGAAATCGTCGGGATCCATCAGGAGGTGGAGATCTTCGATTTCCGCTAGAAGTTTCCAGATCCTCTCCAGCAAATAGCAATCGCTCGATGCCTTACGGAAATCTTTGCCTTCGGTTCTCTCCACGATCCGTTTGAGAAGCTCCTGTGCTGTTTGGATCCAGGATTCGAGTATTTGGTGACTCGTGTACAGAGTCTGGTTCTCGTGGTTCTCTATGTGATCGTACGCTGTTCTCTTCAGCGCGTGGAGCTCGTTCGGCTTGCACACGGCATCATAGTCGAGATTTGGTTTTCCGGCGAGGTTTGGCTCTCCTAGGCCAAGGGAGTACGGACAGCTCCGCATCTCGCACTCGATGGAGTACAGGATCTTCTGTGCCACCTCCTCGGATTTATGCCACGCGGCCAACCGAGGCAACAAGCTGGCCTCGCTGGCGCGATTCACCACGGTAGCCTCTCCGGGAACACTCCAGACCTCAGCGGAGCTGTCTGCACGAGCGAGTACGCCGCTTGACGATCTCAGATCGACGATCGGCGCTGTGCCACGCGCCTCTCCGTCCTCGTGCTCGTCTTCGCACAACATAGCGATGAGTTCCATCTGGCTAGTGGCCAGCGACTCGAGCCGCCGCTTCCACTCTCGCGTGTTTGCATACGGCCTTGGGTCAGACAACACGATCGAGAGGAACCGAAACGTAATCTCCAAAGCCTGAAGACCCGGCTTCAAAACCGGCTCGTTTCTCCAGTCCGGAAAATCCCTCGACCGCCACAGCTTCCTCAGCTCCGGGAGCCGGAAATAGTGTTCGTAAGCGGAACAAGCCGAAGCTGAAGACGTAACCACCGGCGATAAAATATTGGAAGGACCAAGCGGCGTCGGAATTGCGACGTTGAGCTTGTTGGATACACTGGGAGATTTATTTGAGATTTCTGAAGCCACCATCTTTGCCTCCCAATCCAAATCAACCATTTTCAGAAAACAAAAGCAGAGCTAAAATTAATCGTTTTCAGGTTGAGATTTTTAAAATTCCTTTTGGTTTTGTTCTTTGAGTAAGAAAAATGATCGAGAACATATATATATAGTCCAAGTGGAAAGAAGCGTGGAAAGAAGCGTGTTTAGGTTGAGGAAGGTAGAAATGCAAATGGGAAATTTTGAAATTCGCGGTGGTTTCATGGTTTGGATAATTAATTAGTAAAATACTCTGCACTTTCAAATAATTTTTGTTTTTTAATATATATTTGTCTTTAATTAATTAATTTTTAATTTATTTAATATTTTACTTAATGATCAGTGATCTAAATAATTCAGTGATAATTTCTTTTCATTAAAAATAAAAAATCATGAATTTGAGTCGTATTATATTCAAGTGAGATAGGACAA